GTCATCAAAATGTAAGTTGGCCTTGTTGACATTGTTAGAATATATAATATATATTTATTATCTACATCAGTGTGACTGCTGTTCACTTTGCGCCAAAGTAGGCAAAGGATTATAATTCAATGCATATGTGTCACAACAACAACTGCTTGTAGCGATAAAATCATTGAGAGGAATGTGAATTATTATTACTCTCTAAGATATAATCATGATTAAGATTGAACAACCAGCTGGAAAGGAAAAGCAACAACGAACTCGAGCAATAAACCTACCAAAGCAATCCATATTATTATCATTTTATTACTATTATTCCCTTGGGTCTCGAGTGGAACATAAGGCTTCAACAAGGCTTCACATCTCCACTTTTTTCTGTTTTCTGCCATCCTCTTCAGCTGGCCCCACAACTGGCCATAATCTCAAATCTCCTCCTCGCATGATCTCCTCCATGTCACCCTGGGACGACCCACTCGAGCGTTGACCTCATGTGCGATATCATTCGACGGCCTCCTCAACATATGCCCGATTCAACTCCATTTTCTCATATACATATTTGTTGAGCAATCGACTCTTGATTGGTTTATTGCCAACAATCCACAACCCAACAAAAATGCAAAAGAAAATGGAGATGGACTGGACACATATTGAAGAGACCATCGAATTGCATCCATCACGCACCAGACAGGTATTCTAGTGGAACCCAAATGGGAAACAACGAAATGGGTGTGGGTTTTGTGGGTGATACGCAGGATATCGTACAAATTCGGAATCAAAGCTTCTTGAAAGTTGTGCAACCGGCTAAAAAGGACTTCTGAGAACAATATAGAATGAAGATGTACTACGAAAGCCCTATGTTCCACACAGAATAAGCTAAGGGAATGATGATAATAATATAATAATAGGATGTAATTAAGAGAATAAAGGTTAGTGGTTAAAATGTGAACTAGCTGTTAAAATTACTAGGCTAATGGTGATTATCAGTGGAGTTTCAGGTGTGTGTGTTTCGTCCCACTTTGAACTGATCAAGTAGGTGGCATGCTCGTGTATCAGTGAGTGACGGTGTCACTAACCACCCACGTGTACATACCAGAAGTTGATACATTAACATAGAATGTGCGACTGGGTCCAAAAAAGTCGATCAACGTCATTTACAAAATTAACTGCAAGAAGCGACATTGCATCCTCACATTAATGAATGTTTTTCAAACCTTATAAGCAATATTACAATGAGTAGTAGTAAAAGATATATTTTATTCATTGAATTATTTTTGTGGCAAATATTGATTTTATAGTCATTAACAATATTTCTGAACCACACTAAAACTGTGAGGGGGTTAAATTGAAGTAATTTAATCTTTGGTGACAAACAGTGGAATTCAGAATACGCATTTCGTTCTATTTGGGACTCGTCATCTGGATGCACTTGTGATTCCCTGTAAGTGATAATGTTCTCATTGAGATCCAACCTCAGTACCCATCGTTTCAAACGCTAAAGGGTTACCTACTAGACCTCTTTGGCCACGAGAGCCACCTGTTGTGTGACGGGCGTCAGCAGTTATTATTGATTTTGATTTTCCCGTTGACTGATTGAACAGAAATTTTCGGTCTGTTTTCACATGTTGGTTCCTATTACAGACACTCCAGAAATATCCGGGGATTTACTTGAGGTTATTTGGTGAATTCCACTGCTAGTAACCATCCTCTAAGTTACTGAAACTCTGTTCGTTTGTTTCCGTTTAAATGTATTTGTTGGTTCCATAACAGAGTAATTTTATTTGATCAAATATACAGTGCTACAGTAATGTTTATCTGATTGGAGGATTTCATCATGAACTGATGTCAGCTAGAGAACCACTGGAAAACCAAAACTGGAGTACTGGACAGCTGTTTCCTCCGTCCTAGTTTGGGACTTCTCAGCAATACGCACCCAAATCCAGAGTTCGAAACCAGAACCTTCTGGTTACAGGAAGAGCTCTTAGATCACTAAGCCACTGGGACCCGATCCAATGGCGCATGAATTTTGACTGATTACGTCTTCTGAGCACTAGATGCTGACATAATTTCTTTCAAATACTGTGTCCTATTATATAATTTAAGTAAATAATGCCACATTAATCCTTCTGTCATCAGGTGGCTGATGATCACCCTTCAGTTTATCTATGCTTTTACGTAAGGGGGTGTTGACCACGTTAACTGCTGACTGAGTCATAAAATTCTCTGCATCGAAGTAACCGCTTCGCCATTATCCGTCTGGAATACTTTTTAGTGGATAACTCCAAATGTTATACAATAAAGGAATTGATGCAGAAGTTATAATCTTCTAAAGGGATTAATACATTGGTGTCAGAATAAAATTTCAGCACTACAGTAGAGTGAGTGCAATTCCATAATAGAATACTTTTATTTAGTAAAAAACCGCAATGATATAGCTTTATTTAATGACAACGTTTCAAGAACAATTTAGCACTGATGATTCTCAGGTTTTGTGTATCTGGTTCCATTATTTTCAAGAGTTAGTTTGTAGGGATTTGATTTCTTTTGGGTTATATCACACATTGATACCAGTTAGAGAACCACTGGTAACCGGCAGGGAGTACTGGACAGCTGTTTCCTCCCAATGCGGCACTAATAGGTAGAAGGCACCAACCGGGATTAGAACCCTAGTCCTTCCATTTAAAAGGTATGCTCGTAGCCCATTCAGTCACTGGGACCCAGGTAAGTGGTCCATGAATTCGAACTTCTACCGATTCATGACTTCAGCTCGAGCACTGGCCAGTGTGATCGGCAAGTATTTTTCCTCACTCCCGACTGGATGGACCCCAATAGTCACAACTTCACACTAGAACTCCAGACAACTTAGTCTATTATTGTTTAACCTTTATATCTCGTCTCAAGTACTGCCACTGTGTCATTTTAATTGTACATGTCAGGTATAGGTTTGATATGCCGATAATTTAACAGAACCCAGATCCAATGGTGCAAGGTATTTTACAGATTGCGTAATTATTTCCAATTTGGAGAGTATGGTCATTTAGCTTATCTTTGAGTGAGTTTAATGTTCGAATTCCATCCTAATTCCTGTTTTATTAAGAATCTCGTATGTAGGGTTTCAAATGTCCCTTCCTTATATGACGATATGGTGGATGTGTTAAATTATTTCTTATTTGTTATGTTCAGTAGTTCCACTACTATTTCTCCTTTTATTATTAGTTTTTTTGCGCTTCCATCTTTACCAATCTTATTACTGGCTTAGCGAGGTAAAGGAGTGTGTCGGCCTGGGATCGAACCCCTGACCACATGCGTGTATGGCGTGCATCCTACCGCTGTGCCAGTGACGCACAAATGTCTATATGATATCCAAAGGCTATTTATCAGTGAAAATTTATTTCAGAAGGAGTTCTAAAAACAAATTGATGATGTTGCTATGGAATCACCTCTAGGACCAATGATAGCCAATATCTTCCTTGTAAAATTACAGAATCAACTTTTAAAAGGTTTAACTGGTGAAATGGAATTCTGTTGCCTTTACGTAGATGACACGTCTTTAATTATTATTATTGCTGTTGTTTTAACCATCTTCAGTTGCTGCATAAATCTTCGCCTTAGTTTTATCTGATATTCAGTTTAGCGTTATACCGATGCCTATTATCACTTTGGTAATAATTCTGTTGATTTCAACAGCTCGATGCTACTCAAAAAGACACATCACTGTTGTCAATGTGAATTGCTCTCTGGATATTGTGTGTGTGTATAACTGTAGAACTTAATGTAGGAGTCACCGAAAAGAATCTCCTTCCTCTTGTCTTTTTAATGTTTAAATGAGGATTTTCATTGTATCCGGGATGAATTAAAATGGTTGGATTTTCGTCACAAACCAGTACTAGTTAGAGAGATCAAGCAAAACTAGGGAGAATTAGATGGGCATTTCATTTAGTCTTGGTGCTGTTCACCACTGCACACCCGCAAACCTTCCTCCCAGGAATCCAGCGCAGGACCCTCAGGTTACGCGACCGAACTCGCTGACAATTCGGCCACTTGAGTTGAAATCAAATGAACCTTGAGTTCTAACTTTGTCAACTCGTGATTTAGTGCTGCCCCTAACCAATACCTTCGATAAATATCTACTTCATCTTGTCATGGTGACCCCACCGGTCACACGTTTGGATTTGGGATTAATTATGATTGTTACACATTCATCACAAACCAAAATCAGTTGGAGAAATTACTGAAAATTAGGGAGCAGTAGATGAGAATCTAACAGGTGTAATTAATTCAAAATCTTCACAAATCCTATAATCTAAATATCTCTGATTATTTGAGAGAGAGGGAGAGAGACTGAAAGAAGACATTGATGGTGTCTAGGTTGTACACTGATGCAAACTTTGACTCCCCCTTACCAACCGAGATACATACTGTACCGCTTCTGGTTTCTCATCAGATTTCCTGCTAAACATCTGCACATTATTTTGTTCCATCACACTAGTGTCTTTCTGTGAAACAAAACTCTTTATATGTTAACTGAATTTACGCTGACTTATTGCTTTCGTAGTAATTTTGAAATGATTTAGCGTATTATTTTAGACAGCTACTTACATAACATATATGAAGCTTTAAGCATATACCCATAGAGATGTGATTCCTTGCTAATAAGCAAATGACTTTGAGTCAGTATGTATTGGGTTTGAATCCCTGGGGTTCTGGGTTGAATCACTGGCCCTCACACAATAAGTGAAACCTTCAACATGGTACACAAGTAATCTGTTGTGCTCAAATGAGTCCCGAGTTATCTAATTTATCTCACTGACTGATTAGACGTATATCTCAATGGTTTCACTGTAATTCTCACCAGTAATAGGAAGACTGAAAGTATACGGCTACTTAGCAGTCATACAACATGTCTATTTCCCAGGAGAACATAAAATCACCTTACAAATACTGTCAATAATAATAATAATATTAATGAAAGTTATTTGTACTTTCGCTAACACAAATTCAGATTAACTTACAAATCCATAACCTCGACTTTTTCCAGTCTGACGATCAGTGATAACCACAGCTTCATCGATTGGGCCGAATTGATCAAAAAAACAACGTAAACTTTCATCTGTAGTATGATAGGGTAGTCCACCGACGAATATTTTTGTCAAAGTTGTGTCTTTTTGAAGATTGGATGTCATGGCAGGTGAGGTAGGATGGATGATGTGATGAATAAATTGATGCTGAAGATTATGGAAAATAATGAGCAGTGAAAAAAAGTACTGATGATATGCCTTCTGGTATGTGTGTTGTACAACTTAAGGTTTATTTCATACTCCGAAATTCAGAATTTAGAGAAAATATCAAGTATATAATACGATGATGCAGTTATGTTGATATTCACAAAATGTGCTCAACTGAGGTCAAGCAAAAATTAACGCAAAAACTGAAATGTGTGCTGTATTATCAGTAATTTTTCACAATCTCAGATTTCCACGTGTACAACTAACTCTAAAATTTGACGATAATGACAAATCTGTAAGATGATTGGTTAATTTTTTTTTTAATTAGCACTGCAAATCAGTATGGGCACTTTTGATTGGTCAAATTGTAGACATGTCCTTGTAGATATGAGCATCATAATAATATCCAATAGAAATGCAGCAGCAATTTGTGCTAGTAAACAAACTGATCACATGGGAAGTCCTCCACTTAAAAAGGAAAAAAGAAAAAAGGGAAGCGTGATGAAAGAAGCATGGTGGGGGTTGGGGAATAGTTTGATATCTGCCAACATCATATTATCTCCTAGAAAGATATTTCGTCTAACTCCTTCTGCGTAAGGAAGTAACGACAATCTGGTATCACTCAGTTTGTTAATTGTTGTATTCTACCTATCCTACGTTATTCCTCCGCGTTAATCTTTCCTAGACTATTTAAGGAAGACTTTGTTACATTGTGAAATACACTAAAAGCTGTTGGTAGTAACAGTGGGATGTCAATAAAATAACTCGTCATCACTTGTGTGTTGTGCAAGAAATCGGTGAATGCTGTCTTGCCGGATTATGAGCACACTCTTTGCACACACAACTGTCTCCTTGCATCTCATTAGACAAGACTAGAAGCGGGTGTAAGAGACTTTATGCTCGGACAAATATGTATAAAAACTCAACGATACCTTGTTTTCGGCATGCATTATATGTGATGTGAAAAGTGTTAGACAAAAAATTATTGACTTTCTAAGAAACAGCAAAAAACGGAACTTTATATCCCTTCTATAATTAATAAATTGGTGTCATCATCTGTAATAACTCTTAATTTTAATTTCACAATCATATTCCTGTTGGAATTATTATCATCAATGAAAGTGCCCTGTTAATTATCATTCATCCACCCCGGTGCTTTGTAAATGTAAAGGGAATAAAGTCACCGTTATTATAATCTAAGCAGAGAATGAACAGAGATTGCTGCAAGATAACATGGATCCATTTTATTTCGTTGGTTCTCATCATCTGCACTCAACCTACAATCTTCAATAAATAAAAGTCAGCCTAAAATTTAACATACTTTTGTCATCAACAAGCATATTGTAAGAGTGTCATGGCGGGGCAGAACATCAGGATGATAATGTAGCCGAAGTGTATATACATATATATATAATTAAATCATTTGCCACCCCCATCCGACGCATCTGCAGTCCCGACGCTCTGGAAACAGAATTCGATATTCTAAGAGAAATTCTCATCCAAAATGGATACCCAATGACATTCATCGCCAAAAATATCAAACCAAGAATTCGGAGAAACGAAACTTTAATTGCACCAAAAAAGAAACTCTACATGAACCTGGATTTCAAGGGAGATTTAGCAAGCGATATTCTCAAAAGAAGGATCACATCGTCTCTGAGAAGAACATTCTTTGCAACAACGCCAAGGATAGTGTTCTCCAGTCGTCCACTGATCTTCAGAAGCCTCAAGGACAAGATCCCGCATCTGATCACTACTATGTACATATATCAGTTCACCTGATGCTGTGGAGCAAGCCAGGTACATCGGTCGTTCGACGCGCACCCTGTCCAAGAGGATTCAAGAACACTATCCAGCCAGCATGGTTGCGAAAAGGCAATAGTGGTGCAATAAGGAGTGCGATAATTGAACACCTGGTTAACACTGATCATTCCATTTCAACAAACGCCTCCTGCTTCAAAGTAATCTACAGAGTCAAGAATAACCTGTCAAAGGCAATACAACTTCGTCCTCTTTGTATCATTGAAGCTCTGGCCATTAACAAAGAAAAACCGAAGCTGTGCATACGAAAGAGGATTACTCAACCACTTCTACTGTCTTGGTAACAACTTTCTTATTTTATTTTTTATTTTGATGACTTAATTTTGATTCTTTGCCTGTTCTTTAATTGCTTATAATTTTTGTATTCATTTGGAATTCTTACGTAATTTCGTATTATCTACTTTGTTCCTATGTGCATCCTGATTAAAACTCACTCATCAAACTATTCATATTATTACATAACTTCTTTTAACAACTGTTTGTGACGACTCATCACCATTGTTACTACCCTAATTTCACTCACACCTAATTTTCTTGACTGATTTCGTATTACGTAACTCCAATTACCAGTCTTCACCTGTTTAGTTTAAGTAACTATAACCAATTGTATTTTTGTTTGATAAACTTAATGTACACATACATACAAAATAACACATATATATTTGCGATTGTACAGCTAAGAAAATGAATTCGCCGTCGAAAAGAGACTCTTCGCTGATCTACATGTTTTGTTTTCATTAATACCTGGATGGGGATTATACATGAATATATATATATTTCTTGTTAGTCAGAAGTTTCTAGAAAACTAGTTGATAACTTTGTTGTTAGGACGGTAAAAAAAATAGTAACAATTACACAATTAGATAAGAGAAGATCAAAATTTCATGCGCAAGAGGTTAAATGTAAAGTGATGATGTAATGTAATATGGTGAGTAGAACTCATAAGGTCAAGAAAAATTATCTCTTATGGAAGTCATACAGAAGAAACGAGGCGAGGGAAGCGTTGAAAAGATAACTTAATGAAGTTAGAAGACCAAGAGTTATTAAGCGATGAGTCACCAGGGTAAGTGGAGTCCAACGATAGATTCCTCTTTTGGACGCATAGGTCAGGTTTCAGCCGTTTTCTTGTGTGATAGCCTCAGCACACTGAAGAAGACTTGAGCTCTTTTATTTGTTGATTATTTTGAATGATGCCAGTGCGTCTACTCGGTGTCCAATGTTCGATCAGATGTTTAGTTATTGAAGAACTTAAACTACTTGGCCCCTTTAACTTGAAGCTTCTTGGTACATGTTCGAATAATCTAATGTAGGCCCTTCATTTTTTTCTTCCACTGTAACTGCTCCCACAGATATATGTGGATTAGCATACACATTTGGAGGTAGTACCTGTCAGTCTTTGACTACACCAACGAGGAAGATTTGTGGAGCAGAGAGACTGGTTTCGCTGCAGGATACGTCTGTGAGAGGTCTGCGCTTAATCTTTTATTTATGATTCTCATAAGTCGATTTTGATGAAAACTAGCTTCTTGCTGACCGTAGGTTCATCAAGTTTCTTACTTTCACTCTTAGCATATTTGTCAATGAATCTTTGCGGATAACCATTTTCTTTCAACCAATTCTCAACCAGCATTAGCTCTCTGTTTAATTTATCAGGTGAACGTATTTTCTTTTCGCTCTGCAGAAAAGCATTTTCACCAGCGTTTCTTTAAAACTGACTGAGCAGAAGCTATTGAAATCTAAGTAGAGACCGCTCTATGTGCCCTTACGATATATCGATCTTACGTGTGTCCCATCTGATTTCCCCTCCAAGTTTATACTCAGGAAATGGAAATTATCAGTGTCTTCGTGCTTCGTCATGAAAATATTATTCTTATTTACATTGTTGAATAAGCCCATAAGAGAAGAAGCATGACTCGAATCACTGCATACAATAAATGTGTAATCTTAGTATATTTTTTATAGGCACTTGTTTCATCTGTTGTGCACTTGATTTTAGTCTGTTCTACATTGGCCATAAAAATATCAGCTAATATAGGACTCCCCATCGCCATTTCATCAACCTGGCGATACATTTTTTTTGTCACACTGGAATTGTATACCTTTGGCATATAATCACCGAAAATACCCATTGAGTCATGAAGAAAATAAAAGACAGATTCAGTGAAGAAAATTTTCTTTATCGACGAAATCATCTTCACAGGCTGTACAGTCGTATTTATACTTACCAAAAATGTGTATAGTGGTCCATTATTGAGTAATAGGGGGTAACATAATTGATATGATTACTCAGAAGTGGCTTTAGAAGTGAAAATTAAAAGTTGAAAATTACGTGGTACTCAACGGAACAAAGATAGAAATTTGATAAGGTTAAAATTGCTATTGAGTCAGAATAAAGATAGTTGAGTGCCAATTTAACAAGTGTGAAGAGAGTGTGAGAATATACAAAAGGAGTATATGAGAGTGATAATAGTGAATTAATTATTAAAGCAAAAGCAAACTAAAAGTAAGATTAAAAATTACAAAATAGAAAAGAAAAAAGTCAAAATGTTTTTACAGGGATCGATTAGTGAGAAGGTTAAGACCAAGGCAGAATAAGAAACTGGACAAACTTTTTCTGTATACAGAGTTCAGGGTTGTATTGATGAATTGCCAGCGCCTCCGCCTTATACGAAAGCCGAAACCTGACTCCCTTTGTACCATTTAGCTTCACTTTGTAGATGATCTTGAAAGACGACTCCGGTGGAGCTGCGTGACTTGAGTTCACCAAATGCTCGAGAATTGAGCTAGTAATTGTCTTACACTGTCCCTTTGCTAACCATGCCGGATAATGTTCAGAGATGTGTTTGGAAAGCGTGCGCTTTGTGCCGCCAATATGTGTGTTTATAAATTCACCTGCTCGTGTGGAGCTAGTTATTTTGGCCACACAAAACGTACACTTTCCAAACGCATCTCTGAACATTATGCGGCATGGTTGGCAAGAGGACAATGCAAGACAGTTACTGGATCCATGTTATCTTGCACCAACCTTTTTTTCTTTCTTCGTTCAAATTTAGAAAAGGAAATTCTTGTGTGAAATTACTATAATTATTAAAGAGTCTTGTAATTGTAATGACGAAGGGATAGTTTGTGGGGGCGTTTAGTATGAACTGTGTGAATACATTTCAGTTAGGACGTCCCATTATGATAAGCAGCACTCTGCCAGCGTCATTGAAGATTAACGCGACCTTCGATGTAACTATATATAGGCAGATTCGTTCCACATACATTTAAATAACTCCTCAATCCGACCATAGAAGCATTGAACAGAGAAAACCTCTGTCATCATTGGTTGTTGAATCAGTGATGATCGGATTCTTCAGTAAACAAGTTCCTATTTAGCAGATGGATCAGGATCCCCGATTTAGG